ACTTGTAGAATTGTTGACCAGGTAATAGGATGTTGTGCTAATTAGCAGTTGGAAAATGAAGCAGGGTGTGGTGCCTACAAAATGAACACTTGCAGGGGGAAACCTGATGCTGCAGCACGGGCAGAGCGCACCTGTATTGCAGATGATGTTGTTTTTTTTCAGCAGGGCTGGGATTTTGAATAGCAGCGCTGAGCAGAAAGTTCACTGCATTACAGTCCAAGCTCTCTCCTGTGACTTTGCGAGTGGCTAAGTATTGAATTCAACTTTCTGATCTCGGGGAGTGTCTCTAAACACACGGGTATTGTGCTGGAATTATTTGAAGCATGCAGACGTACAGTTTCGCGTAAGACCAGTGGAGACGTGGCTTTAGCTGGGCGCTCGGGCTGAACAAAAAATGCTTTTCAGAGTTCTTTGCCTTCACACCAGTTTGGTAAAGGAAAGAGATGATGGGATTCTGTTCCTTGGTATTTCATTTCTATACATTTATTTTTTTTGTCTTTTGGATTATTGATGTCCACAGACTTGTTTTCCAAGCAATATAACGTTCTCCCTAGTAAGTTCAGTAACTGAAAGTCTTTTGTGCTTTGGAGGTTGGCTTTTAAATAGGTCAAAATCAGCAGGAGAGCTTCATAACCAGAGCAATTAGGATTTTAACCCTTTATCCTCCGTGCCGTAGAGACAGTAGAATAGAATAGAAGTCAGCTAGTAGGCTGCTGTGTGCCACGGGCGGCCACTGAAAGCCAGAGGTTTCTTGTTCCCGGCTTACAACCGAGATCTTCCTGTAGTGGGAAATTACTGAATTAGGGTGTGCAAGGAGAGAGGGTCAGCCTGGGGTTGGGGCCAGCAAGGTGGTGGGGTTGAAGAGATCTTTTTCAGCAGCAGTCGCATGCTGCTGCCAGGTCAGTGGTTTGGGGCATTGGCTGGGCTCTGATTCAGAAGGAAGTTATGCAGCTCTGAAGACCAGTACTCCAAAACATGTGAAAAGAGGTGAGAAGTTTAAAATGTTCCCTGACGTGCTCCTCCTCCACCTGTGTTTCCCATTGGAAAGAAATTATGGAGAATACCTATATGAGGATTGTTTGGTACTGTTGATAACTATTTGCTCTGAACTCGTATCTTGTCCTTTGTTGCAATTTTTTTGTTGTGTGCAGAAGTAGATAGAAAAAGTAGCACAGAAAAAAAAAAGGCTGATCATGGGAGGTTAATTGTAATTTAAAACAGGATTTAGGTTGTTAATGGAGCTGTTTAACAGAAACAGATTTGTACAAACAACCCTTCCCCCAGCTTTCGCATGTGCGATCTTCCTGTTTACAGTAATCTGCTTCTCTGGGATTACCTCTCTCTTAACAGAGACTCTAAGCAACACTCGTTTTACCAGTAGCTTCCCACCTAATACAGGAAAGACCCTGTTGGTCCAGCCCCTTTGCTGGACTTTGGGAAGTCAGTTAGTGGCATCGGTTTGTTAACTGTGCCTCTGTGCAAAAGGGAAACCAGCGAGCAATTTGCCTTCATTGTTACTTACAGCTTCAGAATATCAGATGAGGCTTTAAAGCAGCAGAGAACCATTGTTTCCATATAATTATTGCCTATATCGATTGGGATGCTGCTGATTTAGGCACAAGTCAATGAATTGCTTTGCAGACCTATCAATAGGTGAAATATATACCACGGGGCTTACAAATGCATGTACTTGTGTTTGTAAATGTGTGTGGTTGCATCTGACCAACAACTTTACGACATTACTGTGGTGTTTATGGAAGATAAAAGTGCCAATTCTAAGCCACTTAATCAGTTTATTGAGCTGTTTTAAATATGGTAAGTTCAAGGGATTGCTCAAACAGATAGATGTTCCTCTGCCCCAGGACCCTGAGTCAACAAAATTAACCATGCTCCAGCTGACCTACAACAAAACAAAAAGTTCAAAGCTAACTAGTTAGAAGAGCAATGAAGCAGAAGAGATGCTACTAAAAATTTAACTTGTGAGGTGGGATGTGGAGGCACAGAGTCCAATCTCTATGTGTACCTGCCTTTGCCCCCGCTCTGTCCCAAAGGCTGTTGGGAGGCATTCTTGGAAGATGCCTCGCTCTCTTCCACTGCCTTGAATTGTCTGGGTCTCATTAAACTCATTGTAAGAAAGGAAGAGGAGGGACTTCTTTCTCTCTGGAAAGGTCACCTTTACCACGTCTGCAAAGCGACCTCCCCACGCCTGCTGCCTCTCCCGGCTGCCAGCCCCCCCTAATCTCTTTACAGGAGGCCGCACCATGGCAACACGCACCCAGGAGCCTCTTCGTGTCACCCACGGGGCCAGGTGGGAGCACAGCTGACAAGGAGAGAGATTTCTTTACCAGTGCAGTTGTGACTTTTCTTCTTGCCCCAGTGTATCTGCCTGGCGTGATGCTCATCTGAATTTTGTAACCTAAGGCTCGATTTTTGTGCCTATCTTCCTCTCCTGGCAGGATTTCTTGTCTGAGATGTAGCCTGGCGAACGAAGTTTGAAAGGAAGGGCTGTGACATGTGGCACCGCTATGATTTGGGGATGCACTGCTAAGTGGCTGTACAATTGTTTCATGTAGGTGTGCTTGATTTGTCTTACTCCAATTGCAGCCTCCCCTTAACTGGGATTTGTGAAATTTCTTTTTCTTTCTCCTTTATTTGGTAATTATTTTTCTTTCCTCCCTGTTCCCCCTCTTTGTCACCACTCCGTGCTTTCCTTCGGCGACGAGAAGCTCAGGCAGAAGTTGGCTGCAGGCTTTCGGCCAGCTCCCCTGCTTCGTGCACCGAAGTACTTTGTTAGGACGGGAACTGCTGAGAGTTTGGGATAGGGACAGAAGCCAAGTGACCTCAGCAGGGCTTTCTTGAGAGGAGAAATTAGAGAGGATTTTGCAGAGATGATATTGAAGTGGTGTATTGTGGTGTGTTTATTTTAGACTTGCCCTACCTTAACTGCAGCAAGTGTTCAATTATACATGGCTGAGGTTTTGGGTTTGCGTTGGTACAGCTGCTGCTGTAACCTGTTATAACAAAGCATGCACAGTGCCGCCAACGCGTTTGTACCAGTGCTGCTGGTTTGCATTTGAAATCGGTGTCTTTGTAATATCCCTACGATGAAAAGTTTATGCTGCCTGCACTTAGGTCATTCAATATATTATATGGGAACAAAGTTCTCCCTTACTGTTTAATAAATCTTACCGTACATGAATCTACTAGAATACCTTCAGTGTTTCATTTTGTACAAAAGAGCAGTCAGATTAACTCTGCTTGTTGCTTTACGTGTATCCTTCATGATACCCAAGTTTTTGTTAAGCAGCCTTAAAAGTACTGAAGACACCTGTTCCAAATTTTTTTTGTTTTCACCTCTGTTCCCTTATAGAATTGCTCAAGGGTAGGAGGAATTTGATTTTGCTAAGGTTACAAAAGCTGAGGATTTTTTTGTGTAAGGTATGTGAGGGAAGTATATAAAACCTACTTATTAAGGAAGCTGTTAGAGGTAGCTGTGCTTTTCACTGCTTCATAAATACTTTCTTTTTTTTTTTTTTACATTTTCTATTTGATATTGAGCCTTGATACAGGGAATTGAATAAAAGAAGAGATACTGTGAGGACAAGCACAGGTGAGAAAGCATCATTTCAGAGCATTGCTTTTCTCTGCGTAACGTATAGACAACTGATGCCTTTCTATTTTCACATCTGTTCTTTGTGCTCAGTCACACTTTTGCTGGATGAGCAACCATATTTGTGGACACCCTTTCATGGATCACTGAACAGGCATAGGGACCAGCACAAGCTTCAATATCTTAACAAAATCTAGACCTGCCAGGTAAACAGCTCCTTTTTCGCTAAACTGGGACTCTGTGCTCTTCCTCCGTGTTGGTCATCTGTGAAGGCTTTGACTGAGTTACAGCTCGAGGAAAAATAAGATGTGTGTGCGTATAGTGTTTACCTTTTGAAGCAGAAATGCTAGTTGTGCCTAAAGTATCGTACGACTTTAGTGCAGAAGCTTATAGTCCAGGTGTCAGTTTGGAGTTAGAAGAAGCACGGGTGAAGCCACTGTCACATATAAACTGAGCGGGTTTTACAGTGCTGTTTGACAGCAGAGCTCCCTGCTCTGCACAAATGTTGCATTAAATCGAATCGGGAGAATACAGAAAGTGTTAGAGTACATTTTATAATGGTGCTGGTGGTCACCAAAAGCTGCGGCATAGTGGAAGGAGGGATGTGTCTTTGGGAAGTGTTCGAGAACTGGTGGGGGAAAAGAGAAGACTGCCTTAATAAAAAGGTACTGTGAATTTGGGAGATGCCAGCTGTGGGATTTACAGGACAGTCAACTGAAAAAAAGTAGTGGTATGGGTTAGTGAGGAGAAGTTAAAAGAGAATGGAGGGATCAAAAAAAATTGGAAACTGTTAAAACTGGAAGAAGCAACTGAAGAAGAAAATGCAATTTAAATGTGGCTAACAGACTTGAGCATTGTGAAGTGGGAAATAATTTGCATATTTGACTTTAATGTAAAGGCTTTGTATATTAAGCAAAATCGAGTGTATTGCGGGGGAGTTGTCTGCTCTCATGAGAGTAGCTGTCATTCTGCATTGGTTTAGAGATTTAGAGATTGGTGTGCCTTTTGCTGTTAATACACTTTTGCTGTTAATACACAACATTTATCTAGTAATCTAGATAGTAGTAAATATTTTCAGTAATATATCCAAGCATATCTATGGTTTTTCTTTAAATTTCAGCAGTTACGTTCTGAACTTCTCGGTTTGCTGTTGTTCTTTCACTGATGGCTCAGCAGCTACAATTTCTAGGTCAGTGAGGATGGACTTCCTAGGCTTGTGTAGCTGGATATTACCTTAGGAGTCTGGGATTACTGGCCTAATGTTATTTTCATAAGGTTTACAGACTAATTGTTCTGAATAAACACCAACGAGTTGCAGTTTTCTCTGGGATCTTGCCAACTCTTTTGGTAATGTAAGAAAAATAATGTTTCCTTTCCTCCTGTTCTACAGGTCACGTGGCTTGCCAAAGCTGAAAGAGTCCCGTTCCCATGAGTCTTTACTGAGCCCAGGCAGCGCCGTGGAGGCCCTGGATCTTGGGTCAGAAGAAAAAGTCTTTGTCAAACCACTTCACAGCAGCATCCTTGGACAAGACTTCTGCTTTGAGGTAAAGAACGCTCTCCAAACACGCAGCCGATTATATGCTCTCAGTCGGGCTGAACCCTTGCGGTATGCTGTTCTGTGACTTTGTAACTGGAGAACAGATCAGCAGCCACTGCTATCCTGAGGTTTGGGTACGGGCTGTCTAACCGGCATGCCATTTTAAAGTCCTTGAGGCTGATGGCATCAGTCACCGAACGGAGAGAAATCTCTTTCAATTGCCGCGTCTTCTAATTGAAACATCCCTTTAATTTGATAAATATCTAAGCATTTCTAGTTCACATGCAAATATATGGTTGAAACATACTGTTGTTCATAAGCTGTGTATTCATCCTCTCCAAATTCACCTAAAATTAAATTTAGAAAATATACCGTAACTGAGAAATGTGATTTCCAGTCAGGGCCCCCTTCCATTAGCTCAGCGCGTTCTCCCTCCAGTTGCTAAAGGAGAAGCTTCAGTAACCATGGACGTGTGCATTGCACCGTGGGGCGGGATGGAAAGATCCTCTTGCTGTTTCAGCACAGGCTGCAGCACAGCACTACGTGGCTCGTAGCCTTGCTTCAGAAACAGGCTGTTTGTGTGAGCACAGTCCTCGCCTTGCAGGACCAACAGCGTACTCCGGTGTGCTATTTGGATGATTCTAAGGCCACTGTAATCAGTCGTGACAGGGGTGGGTGACAGTCTGTCTTCAGCAGGGTTAGTCAGATGCGTCTAAACTTCTGGAGCAAAGATCTGTTTACAACCTGGAAAACTGCTCTGGCAGAAAACCAACGTATCAGGCTCTTCTCCCTCGGGACGTATCCGGGATCTGTTCCTGTTCGCTTCAGTCTCGTTCTTCTGGTTGGAATCACTTTCCAGCTTGCTTAGGTTTGGGGAGTTCAGTGAAAAAACTGACACCAACTTAGCTCTGAGGCTGTTGCCTTAAACTGCTTTTTAATTGTGTGCACAAATGAATGGAAAGAGTAAATGAAGCGATGAAGCTTGTCAGGCCACCTAAAAGTGAAAGAAACCAAGGCAGTTCCCTCGTGCGTGAAAGCTGAGTTGTGTATGGCATTGAGTGTCAGGGCTGGATCGGAGCACAACTCCTTCGGTTTGTTTTTGACTGTTGCTGTGTATATGGACCCTTGGAAATATTTTGTGTTTACTGAAGACACCATTTCCAGTGCGCTTTCCCTTATATTAATACATTGTTAGTTCTGTCTGTCTTTACGCTGTTAGTAACCAAATCATCTGCCTCTGGGACTCAACAGGGAAAACTGCAGGCATTTAATAGCTGTGGATCAATTAACAAGTGTTTTAAAAATAGATTAACTGGTTGATTAAAGCCTTGTTTAAAAGTCTTTAAGAGGAGCCTCTAGTGCTCCTCATGTGTTTCTCTAGTTTTATATTAATTTGAACTGAGTGGTTTTTTCTCTCTACATTTTGTGGGCCTTTTAACCTCTCTGCCTTCCAGGTTCTTATTTTTTTCCTGCCTTTTTCATATTTACTTTGTTGCTCAAGCATTTCTTCTTCCTTGCTTTTTTGCAGCCTCTTGCATGTCTCCTAGGCTTGCCTGAACTCAGCCTGTCATTTATATGTTCCAGGTAACCTACTCCAGTGGCAGTAAATGCTTCAGTTGTTCCTCTGCAGCAGAGAGGGATAAGTGGATGGAAAACCTACGCCGAACAGTGCAACCGAATAAGGTAATAGAAACTGCGGAAATAAAATTACTGGGGGAATGGAGGTGGTATGATTGGATTTTAGTCCAGTGTACCAGGGCTTCCCACAGACGCATCCTCAATTAATTTAGTCTGGGGAGACGTCCGCTCGTCAGTGTATCAAAAGCTGCTGTGTACTATTCTAGTGAGTGCAGTAGGTCAAATCTGTAATGAATAAATACATGTCGGCGTGGTTCCTGATCCCTGCCCCAACGCCTGCTTATGATGTTTCAGACTGGATTTCTGACACCATGCACCTCAGCAGGATGGGACATGGCTTTGAAGGTTTCGTGTTTTGCTGTGGGGACACAGTTTCGGGGAGGGGGGAACCAAAAACAAACAAAAGGAATTTGAGCTGGAGTAAGAAGGGGGTCAAGTTATTGATCAGCTGGAAATATGTGGTAAGTCACCTCCATAGTTGGCATACCACCTTCGAGGGACAGGGTAACAGTGCTCTTGGAGTTATCGACGAGAGTAAACAATGCAGTGTGCCACACCAGTCTAGCAGCTTTTGAGGGGCTCCTCAGTGCCCAGTGTTTGTTTTCTAAAGCATTTCAAATACAGCTTTTTGAGTAGAAAAATGTTCTAGTCCCCTCCTTTGACATACGAAAGACCGCCCTTTGCCTTTATTTTAGAAAATGTCTGATTTTCTAGAGATTCTGGTTCTCTGAAGATCAGAGAATCTCATTCTGAATTCTACCTCTGTTCCTGCCTTGGACACAAAAGGCAGCCCTTTGCTGCTGCTTTAGAAGACAAAATATACAATTTTTAGGGATTTTGAATGAAAGCTGAGCTCTTTCTTCTGCACAGGACAACTGCCGTCGAGCTGAAAATGTGCTCCGACTCTGGATCATTGAGGCAAAGGACCTGGCCCCCAAGAAGAAATACTTCTGTGAGCTGTGCCTTGATGACACTCTCTTTGCCCGCACCACCAGCAAAACAAAAGCAGATAACATTTTCTGGGGAGAGCACTTCGAGTTCTACGGTCTCCCACCTCTTCACAGCATCACAGTTCACATCTACAAGGACGTGGAGAAGAAGAAGAAAAAGGACAAGAACAATTACGTAGGCCTGGTCAACATTCCCATGGCCAGTATCACCGGTCGCCAGTTTGTGGAAAAATGGTACCCAGTCAGCACGCCTACACCCAACAAAGGGAAATCGGGGGGACCTTCCATTCGGATAAAGTCCCGTTATCAGACCATCACCATCTTGCCCATGGAGCAATACAAAGAATTTGCAGAGTTTGTTACCAGCAGCTACACTATGTTGTGCTCTGTGCTGGAACCTGTGATCAGCGTAAGGAATAAGGAAGAGATGGCTTGTGCTTTGGTGCACATTCTTCAGAGCACTGGGAGAGCTAAGGTAAGAACAGGCAGCTCCTGTCAAAATGACACCCTCCAAGTGATATCTTTTCAGCTAGAAACTAGGAAGCCCATGACCATAAGCAACAGCAGGAGGTGCCGGATGGTGGCGAGGCTGAGAAAGGGGTCTCAAAAGTATTTGAAAAGACTTGAGCAATTGGGTAGATAGGTACGATACCAGCAATGATTAAGAGTTGATACAGAGATTAAACATGCTGTGCACAAAGTATAAGCAGGAGGACCATATAACTTCATGATATTCTGAAAAGTTAGGGCCTGTGCTTGAGTGTTCAGGAGACTTTTCTGTATTTCTAAAATCATGATAACGGGACAAGAGAGAAGTAAACAAGAGATTAGTAAACCGAAGAATTACTTCTATAAATAAGCCTCTGATACAATAAGCATTGTTGATTCAGTGCTAAGTCAGCTGATCAATGCTAACATTGATTTGGTCAGCGTTTGAACAGCCATTTGGAGAATCTGTACTCAGTTAATGGTGATCCCACCTGCCCCAAGGATGTTACTAGGACTTCTGGGTGCACACTGATGGTTCTCTGTGAGGCAGCAATTGGAGCGAGCCTCGGTTGCTTCGAATAAATTGTGGGTCTTGGGAAATTCTGAGAAGCATTAACAAGCATTGATTTATCTGGATGCTGCCTGCCAAGTGGGTGTGTGAGTAGTACCAAGCTGTAGTCAGCTTCTTCCCATAATGCCAGCTAGAGCAAGTGAAGCACGACCAAACACAAGTCAGAGGGTTAGAGATGTGGAAGGATGTCTGTGAACAACATGTAAGGGACAGCCTAATTTAACTGTTCCAAAAAAGTCTTTTTATGTTTGCATAATCCTATGCCACTCTCTGCCGTTCCCCCCTTGACATACGTCTCAAAGGCTGATGCTCTGTGGCAGTGTGTGATAGGAACTCATTCCTTACCAAGTATCCAGAGAAGCTGGTAGCTGGGATAGCTTCTGTAGGGTTGTGTTGAAATCCTACTGGAAAACAGGCTTTAAATTCCTGCAGTGCTAGCTGCAACAGGTAGTTAAATTAGTGTTACACCTTTGCCTTCCTGGTGCCTGAACATTTGAACCTCTATTTA